GGGTTTGACTGTGGCAGCCATATTGGCTAAGTGACCTGCTATAACGCATGCCTGTCGATCCAGTTGTCATGTGTTCGAATCCGCAGTTTTTTCGTCTCTGATCCTTCTGCCAGAAAACCTTATATCAGGCTACTGGCCTCCTCCTTCTCCTTCTCCTCCTCCTCCTCCTCCTCCTTCTTCTTCTTCTTCTTCTTCTTCTTCTTCTTCTTCTTCTTCTTCTTCTTCTTCTTCTTCTTCTTCTTCTTCTTCTTCTTCTTCTTCTTCTTCTTCTTCTTCTTCTTGGGAGTACACCCGTTTGACTGGGTTATCTGTGTGCGCATTGTTGATTTCTTACCTCTCAGACATGCGATCCGACTTGGAGAGACAAGTCGGTCGTCTCTAGGTTGGCCAGGCCCCGGTAGGGAACTTATCTATAGGGTATCCGGGAGAGATGTAGATAAGTCTCTGCCAGTTTCAACCACCACGCTTAGGTATTCACGGCTCACCATTTGAAACGAGCACCAGACTCACGGATCAAGCGTATGTCCCCCCCCCCCCTGAGAAGTCTTTCACTTCCCCTCCTTTCCTTGCTCTTGTCTCGCCAAGTTTGCCAATTGTCACTAAGTGTTGAAGATTATTAAGGTTACTTGCGTATCCTTTACAGGACGTTGCAGAACCAACCCTAACAGCTCCTGGCTGTTGTGTGGTTTTTCTAGGCAAATTTACGTTCAGTAGTTTGCCATAGCTTTCTGGACTGAAAGATTTTTTACTGCTGATACATTCAACGGTCTTGCGCTAGGGGAAGCGCTAGAATGTATCAGTCTATATTTACAGTATTAGTTGCTGGTACCTAGTTGGTTAACTTTTAACAACAATCAGTGAAGCATTATGTTTGGCTTATCGCGACGTCAAGCAAACAGAATCACCAAAACAGGCACTTCATTCAATAGGTGACAGATAGATTGAGGAAACGAGGACGCACAAGAGAAACCCTAAGACGAACGGTGGTGAGAGAGGCCAAGGGTGCTGGGCTAGATTCCATCTACGACATCGACATGATTGCACAGGGTAGGGTATAACAGGATGGTGTTATGGATGTGGACTGTGAGCCCTGTATGACGTGTAAAGGGATTCAGGAAACGAAGACGTCTAGGAGACGTTGCTAAGGGAACAGAGACGCTCTACTGGATTCCATCGATATAATCTAAGTGCTTGCACAAGTTAGAACGGAACGGAAGACAACATTGCGAACCCTTTGGGGCGTATAAACGGCATTACAGGGTACTTGTTCACTTATAAGGGCTCCTGTCGAGAAGTCTGCTTGTTTTGTTTGTGTGCCTTGTCCTTTTTGTCAAGCTTCTTAGTCCTAGTTGAGTGGATTCATGTCCTGGCGGTCAAGCGACTACAGTCATCCGTGTGTGCATAACTTTAAAGGGGTCTTGACTGTCCGTTCTGGGCTATCCTCCGAATGACGGGCACAAAAGATGGCGGCCGCAAAAACACCCTAACAGAGCCTGAGCCTAATTTGTGGTTTTCCAGCGACTACCGCCACCGCCAAGAGTATCCCCCACGCTCACGCGGCGTGGATTGGGGCTAAACTAGATGGCTGGGACTCACGAGCAGCAGCTTCCGCATCACCTGCAGCTTTGCTCGTGAGTCCTAGTCATCTAGTTTAGCCCCAATTTATGCCGCGTGAGCGGCGTTTGGGATACTCTCGGTGGTGGCGGTAGTCGCCGGAAGTGCGCAATTGACACGTGACTGAGGCCCTGTTTTTGGCCGCCATCTTTTGTGCCCGTTATTCGGAGGATAGCCCCGTTCTGTAATGAGACACCATTTAGCCCAGAATGTACTGGTTGGAGAAATAATCCTGACAAGCCTCCTCACCGTAGACCGCGGTAAACCAGTACAAAAACACCACTGGAGCGTTTCTGTTGTATTGTATTTCTTTGCTGACCCGTATGTTTTCTAGTCTGTTGAAGTCTGTTCTTTACTTGGGGACAATCGCCCACCACCAACTCTAATGCTAGTCGTCTCGGAATATGAACGTTTTGTTGAGTGAATACACGGGATTGGTCCGGCTCTCTAGCGTAGTTGGCTAAACCGGATTGCGCGAAGACGAACTCCTTGTGGTCCGGGTTCAATCCCGGGGGTAGGCAGGAAAGCCACATTTTCTCCCAGATTTACGATATTTACAATGGAATCAAGGCCGAAAGGTTGCGATATCCATAATACCGAGCCTAAGGGTTAACAACTAATGGCTTCTGGATACTAAAACAAACAATACACGGGATTGAGGAAGAGAGTGTGTCTTTTCAGCTGATAGTACTGTATGCATAGGTGGAGCTGTAATTTCACACGCTTACTGTAGTGACTAGTGTTTGTGTTGGGATTAGTTTGAACTGATGTTAACCTGTGTTCGCGGCCCAGTTCCGAAAATAATCTTTGCATTCTGGATAACGGCGAATTTCACCAAGGCCACCCTTACCTCACACATTTTACTGTTTTTACCAGCCCAGTCTCCAGTCATGCAGACAAAATGACAGCTACACAGTGTTAAGAGAATCGCTTGGGTGGGTGCAGTCCCTACTCGGCTTAGCTCAGTTTTCTAGTTCACCGCGTTACGCTAGGAGAGAAGGCCGTTAACCTTTTGCTTGGTAGCACTTACCGTAATATACGTAAAAAATGAATTATAAAAGTATTTTAATATACAATAAATCTCTTATTTTAGATTTTACATTACGAAGTTGACAGGACAATTCATTTATTTGAACTTTTACCAAGCGTGTATTTTAGCTAGGCAGAATAACAATGGCATCAAACGGCTCCGTTTCGATATGTGCGGGTAATCATGTGACCTTGAAGGGTGAATGTCAAGACCATCATGTGACCTTGAAAGGTGACTGTCAACAAGCAGCAGGGCGTTCCTCCTCCACTGGGACCATGAGTGCGGCTCTACTGCGTCTGGCAGATTCAGCAGAAAGGCGGCCAGTGTGCTCCAGAAAGTCCACCATGTCCTCACTTTCAAAGTCCATTTCTGATTCTTTGAAAATCAGAAAGAAAAGGAGGAGTCATGGGAAATCATATCTTGTACAAGCAAGCACAGCATATGAAGGTGGAGATTTCAATGATCTGAATAAACCAGTGTCTTGCCTCAGCCACTCTTTGTTGGGCCGTGCCGGCAGCATTATCTCACGAAGGAGAAGATCTGGCGGTGATGATGTCTTCAGTAGAACCACAGACATGAAGGCTAGCGGACCTCAGCAGACTACAGATCTCACTGATGCTAATGATGGGGCAACTCCACCCAAGCATAGACGCATGTCACAGGCCACTTACGCCACTTCTGCACTGCATCTTGATAACTTTGAAGACAGTCGCCAGCTAGATATGTGGGCTACTCCTGTGCATTCATCCCACACTAAAGAAATCAGTCGGTCAGGATTGTACAGGAAGTCATGTTCATTGAGATGTTTCCAACCATCAAAGAAGTCTAGTGTTTCTCCTTTTGCTTCCCCTGCCTCATCAGCACACAGAAGGACATTGGCTTCAAACCAGACAGTTGAGTCGTGGAATCAGGCTAAGAAAAGATCATCTCTTTCATCCAGAGGATGCAGCAGCCAGCTCATCGATACGTACATCCAGCGCCGCAGGCAGAGTCGAGGCTCATCCAGCTTCCACAGCCAAACATTTGACTTCACAACACACAACCACCATCAATCATTTGATTTATCCACACATGGCCACAACCAAACATTTGATTTCTTGACACATGGTCACAATCAAGCATTTGGTTTATCACGGGACCACAGTGAAACATTTGATTTATCTACACATGGTCACAGTCAAACATGTGACTTATCTGCATGTGACAAAAACCAAACATTTGATTTATCATCATGCAGATGCAACCAAACACTTGATTTAACAAAGGGCAGTAACCAGCAGACATCAGACTTGTCAGAGCGACATCCGAATCAAACATTTGACTCAACAAACCTCAGCTACAGAAGATACAAATCCTTGGCACAGGCTGGTGGGGCCTCAGTTTCTAACCTGACCGTTCCTAAAGGGGACAGGTTAAGTGTTACACTGAGCTTTCTCAACCAAACCACAGATTCTGCATATATCAGTGATTATATTTTTAACAACATGGTAAGATTTTTAAGTTGTCTTAAATGTATGTTAACTGCTAGCCGCCACCACCCCACCGCCTCACGCCCCACCCCTCCCACACCCCACCCCCTCCCAATCAATACCCCGCCGTCCCCCTCACCCCGTGCGTAAGCATTGTACTGGAATAATGTATACGTCTGCTACTCTCTTTCTCATCTCATTTCTAGGTTAAACAAGAGTAAAACATAAGATTTATCAAACGACAGGCAGGCATAACTTGTGCAAGCTGCTGGTCTTGTTGTGCCCTATTGACTTTTAACAGGAAACAGTGATGAGTATTTTCTGTGGATTAAAAAACAATTGGGGGGGGGGGGGGGGGAGGATTGGGAACAGTGATAGCATTTTGTGGGGGTTATTGATTTTTATCAGGGGACAGTGATAGCATTTTGTGGGGGTTATTGATTTTTATCAGGGGACAGTGATAGCATTTTGTGGGGGTTATTGATTTTTATCAGGGGACAGTGATAGCATTTTGTGGGGGTTATTGATTTTTATCAGGGGACAGTGATAGCATTTTGTGGGGTTGTTGATTTTTACCAGGACAGCGATGAGCATTTTGTTTAATTTTCATGGAAAAGCTGGGAGTATTCTGTTTACTTTTCAGTGGAGCAGTTAATCGTGACTCAATGCTGTGAGGTTGTGATGCAGTTGGTTTAGACATAGCCTTCCTTATCATCATTTCTCCCTCTATTCCCTTCTTTTATTCTTCGCTTTGGCTCTCTCTGCCTGTCTTCCGGTCTCTTGTTTTTCTGGTACATTTCCCCTCTCTCTATCTCTCTGTGTCTGTCTATCTCTCACATTCTAATGGTTATCTTCTAATTAACAATTCCATATTCATTGGTCTGCAGTCCCTGCCTAATGGTGAGAATGGAGAAAATACAGCTACACACAAAATGATGACCGCCTGCAGTGTACACAGTATTGCTGCGGCCAATCAGCAGAACCAGGAGAATGTGTCTAAAGCTGGGAGGGTTGCTAGCTGGGCAGTTCAGTTTGATAAACTGTTGCAAGATCCACTGGCAGTCAAGGTCTTTACAGTAAGTTTTTGTAGATTCTGCCTTACAATGGTTGTTACTGTACATAGTGTGTACATTGGTTGTTACAGTACATAGTGTGTACATTGGTTGTTACAGTACATAGTGTGTACAATGGTTGTTACAGTACATAGTGTGTACAATGGTTGTTACTGTACATAGTGTGTACATTGGTTGTTACAGTACATAGTGTGTACAATGGTTGTTACAGTACATAGTGTGTACAATGGTTGTTACTGTACATAGTGTGTACAATGGTTGTTACAGTACATAGTGTGTACAATGGTTGTTACAGTACATAGTGTGTACAATGGTTGTTACAGTACATAGTGTGTACAATGGTTGTTACAGTACATAGTGTGTACAATGGTTGTTACAGTACATAGTGTGTACAATGGTTGTTACAGTACATAGTGTGTACATTGGTTGTTACAGTACATAGTGTGTACATTGGTTGTTACAGTACATAGTGTGTACAATGGTTGTTACAGTACATAGTGTGTACATTGGTTGTTACAGTACATAGTGTGTACAATGGTTGTTACAGTACATAGTGTGTGCAATGGTTCACCATATTGAGTTGGTGTGTGTACATTGGTTCACCATATTAAGTTGGTGTGTGTACATTGGTTCACCATATTGAGTGGTGTGTGTACATTGGTTCACCATATTGAGTGGTGTGTTTAAAAAACTTACAATGGTTGTTAATGTACACAGTGCATACATATGTTCACCATATTGAGTGGGTGTGTTTAAAAAACTTACAATGCTTGTTAATGTACACAGTGCGTACATTGGTTCACCATATTGAGTGGGTGTATTTAAGAAACTTACAATGCTTGTTAATGTACACAGTGCGTACATTGGTTCACCATATTGAGTGGGTGTGTTTAAGAAACTTACAATGATTGTTCATGTACACAGTGCGTACATTATTTCACCATATTGAGTGGGTGTGTTTAAGAAACTTAGAATGGTTGTTAATGTACACAGTGCAAACATTGGTTTACCATATTGAGTGGGTGTGTGTGTACATTGGTTCACCATATTGAGTGGGTGTGTGTACATTGGTTCACCATATTGAGTGGGTGTGTGTACATTGGTTCACCATATTGAGTGGGTGTGTGTACATTGGTTCACCATATTGAGTGGGTGTGTGTACATTGGTTCACCATATTGAGTGGGTGTGTGTACATTGGTTCACCATATTGTGTGGGTGTGTTTAAAAAAACCTTTATGTTATGAAAACGAAAATAGTCTAGTACTTCTCTGCATCTGCCCTTAAAAGGGTGGTTGGCATATTGTGATCAGTTTACAGCTAGGCTGCGATGTTTGCACCCATATGCCCAATACATTCGATCTCAGCTCCACAAACCCTTAATTAGTCATCTGTCACTACATGTTTGTTTAGTGTCAATAGGCTGTGCATCCACAACAGCGGGGGACCCCTGAACCTACACATGGAATTAGTTTAGTAAAGTAAACAACAATCATGACAAGACAGGAAATTGTTGTCTCCATTAAAAACTAAAATGACCACTTCTAAAGAAGAGTTAAAAAAATTGCCACTCATTTTTAAGTGTTGTTTGGGTAGGCTGGTACATCCTTCTTGAAAAACCTGGCAAGTACCACCAAGATGGATGGTTGAAACCAACGCAAGGCGCATGGTCCGCAGCTGGGATTGAACCCGGCATTACGAAGTGTTTGCATCGACTTAGCCACAGAGGCGACAAATGAAAGATACATTTAAAAAAAATCATAAGACCACATTTCTATTTCAATAATTTGTTGTGACTGAACAATCCAGAATTTTTGGGGGACATTAGAACAGTAGATCAAGCTACAAGTTACACACTTGTCACAAGTAATAAATGCAAGGCTGTGTTAGATAATTCATAGTTTAAAACCTGCTGCTAGCTGATTATTCACGTCACTTTATTTTTCACATGTTTCCTTATGCAGGAGTTCCTGGAGAAGGAGTTCAGTGCTGAAAACATCCGATTCTGGAAAGCCTGTGAACAGTTCCGAAGTGTGACCAGTGAGCAACAGGTACATTGGTTTTCATTGTATTCTTCTTTAGAAGTTGAATCTGAGCATACACTTGTGATCATGACACTGATTTAAGTTCAATTTTACCAATATCACAGCACTGAGGACATTCCCTAAAGTGCTCTGTCTCCAAATTCAGCAGCCAGCATAGAGTTCCAGTTCCAGTGGTAGCAGTAGCAGTCTGATTACATGTTCATCTGGCCTTTCTTTAAGTGTTAAGTGTAAACCAGATTCCCTGGTCACTTCCAGCTGCACCATCCTTTGCAGACAATGGTGAATTGTTTGTACTTTCACGTTGTTAACTCGCTTCCAAAGGGCCTTGACCACAGCTAGCTGGTCATGCATTAATTTACCACCAAGTGGTGCAGAAACCTATTCATTTCCCAACACAGCTGAATACCCCAGAGAAAATATCTAAAGTGCACTAGCTATACCAGATTTCTGAAGCAATGCTTGCTCTTCGTGGAGCATACCTGTCTGCACATTTCTCTGCATGTTTTGTGAGTCTGTTACAATCACATCATTTATGTGCACATGGTTCTCAAGCTGCTCAGATGTTATGGTGTCATATTCTAGGCTTTGTTTGCACTAAGAGTCGTCCATTTGCTTTAGCTATGAACCCCCTTGTACTTCTTCAGCCTCTCAAGGCAAGAGCCATCAGTATAGATAACCGCATCACCAGGGTGGAAATTGTGATGAGTTAGTTGTTGAATTTCAGATTCTGCCATGCCTGCTGGTTATTCCCTGCTCTTCCAGCCCAATGTGGTTAGAACCTTACACACATGTTTCATTGTTGCTCTGACACTTTTACCCACTCCTTCTTGCCCAGTTTTGTTTCAGTCATGCATAAATGTAGAATTTAACTTCTTGTGGCATCCATGAATGACTTCCCTTTTCTGTCTGTGACTCATGGCTCTTATGACTCTGATTTCTGCACATCCGTCTGACATCTACATAGCCCAACACAAAGATCTAGTTTAGATGAGCCATTCATGATGCACTTACCAAAACAGTTCTGCTCTTGTCTGATGAAGCCTGGCTGAGTTTTCTTGAGCAGATTCATGGAGTCATTTAGTATATGCACATTTCTTTCTGGGTCCCTGGACCTCATTTTTCGGGGGTAAAAGGGAATAGGCAAGCATGGGTGATGTTCAAGTTCAAGGCCCAGGATTAGGTCCAGCGACCTAAGGAGGCATGAAGGGCAAGGAAAGTTACTCTAATCCTGGGCCTGGAAATGTGAACAGGTCCCAAACATGTCATTAAAGGCTATTTATGAAGCATTTGCTGAAATCAGATGTGTTAAGCAAAAAGGCACATATATTGGCTAGCTGTAAATCACATAATGTGCCGTCTGCCTTTTTCATAATGAACCTAGAAGAAGAAGAAGAAGAATATGCAGACATGTCACTACAAATACATTGTACCAGAACATTTTGTTTCTGCTCATCTTTGATAGTATATTTTAAAGATGTGTTTTCTAAATTTGTTCAGCGAAAAATCTTGGCTAAAGACATCTACAACCGACACATAGCAGCTAGAGCCAGTGACCCTGTGAATGTGGACAACACGGCCAGGTCCTACACCGAGAGATTCTTGGAGACTCCAACGGCCATCATGTTTGATGTGCCCCAGTCCCAGGTCAGTTTGAACAGCCACATTTTGTCATGTAACTGATGTAGACAAAAAGTTTAACTGCCCAGACCGTAAGAGTTGGGACCTCAATAACATATATGTTTGTAATTAGTTTGAGATTGATACATACAAACAATAATCATATGTGGTCGGATGAAAACACTTACCACTTGTGAGGTCTGTCAGCCTATGTGTATATCAAAATCATGCAAAGCTGTATTATTTGTGAAATATTTCATAATTTGAAATTTAGTCATAAGTCTATTTTGCCTGCTCATTTCAATTTCCAGTTGAGGAGACTGAGCATGTTTATAACTCAAAGGCCCTTCTAGTATTTAGTCCTTATCCAGACGATCTGGATGTCTAATCCACTCCCCCAGGATCAGAGAGCAGTGTACCATGTTTGCCTAATTCTATGTGTGTCCATGCATGCATGCGTGTTGTGTGTATGAGAGACTTCAGCATTTCCACTAGGAAATGTACCGGGTCATATTTAGCCCGGGCAAATAAAATAGGGTTTTTGAAAAAAGAAAAGAAAAAGTAGTGTAATACGCTTGTGTCTGTTTATTTGGGAATCACTAGATCCTACAGCTAATGAGGCAAGACAGCTATCCACGATTCTTAAAATCCGATCAGTACAAGAACATGTTGGTGGAGGAGCTAGAAGGCAACATCCATCATGAACCTGAGAAAACATCGGAGAACAAAGGTGACCAGAAACAGGTGAGCTGGCTGGTATTCAATGTTTGTACTGGAGTGTAATGAGTGAATTATTCCGCACCCCCTTTTTTTGCCAGTCCATTCCGTGTTTAAGAAGACTAAAAGGTTGCCCACGTTGAACCTACTAGGAGTAGTTTTGGTTGTGTCATCTGGTTTCTTTGTACGAAATGTATTGACAAATACATTTTCTTTGTGCCTAATTTAATGGTAAAGTGTTTGTTGCCAGTGATGCTTCAAACATGTACTAGGCTTTTTCTTCATAGGTCCATTGGTGCTTATTGAGTAATGTAGTCAAAATCACGCCGACTGCCTTTACTTCCAGGATATTTCATGGTACACATTTTAGGCTGTGTCGATCTAGAAGTAACTGCTTAATTTTGAGCTTTCAGTCAGATTATTTTCTTTTATAAAAA